GCTCCTGAGAAACACAGGAGGCTGTATCAATACTGGTGGGGACCTGTGTGCCCTGCAGTGCTGTCTGTGCTGGATTTATTTGGGGCAGGTGCATACCCAGCCCTGACAAACTTGTCAGCACAGCCTGAAGAGAAAGTGCCTCCCAAATGCAGAGTGGGCCTCCTGGCCCACCCACTAACGAAAGAAAGCCTGATACACTGGGAGAAGACTCTTATCTCTGAACATCATATCATCTGCTTCCAGGCAGCAGAGCTGTGATCTGAGCAGGTGATGACTTGTACTAACATCTCCTTTGAGAGCCATATCCCATCTCTGGATATCTCCTTCATTGTCTTAGCAAGACTTGTTCTACCATAGGAGTGTGGAGGAGGGCTGATGGAAAAAAGCCCCCAAAATTGTGATTAACATATAAATAATAACTAATTAAACCCCAGCAGTGACTATTTCATATAAGTGCAGCTCTACCATCATTCCTTGTGTAAAGATAATCAAAATCAAGTGCCTCTTTACTTTTCCTGTAAATTCCAGGAAATTCTTTAAGATCACAAAGCAGGTAACTATTGTTCTGTGCCTTTTTATATGGGAGAAGAAGGGCAGTAATTCCTTTCCCTATGAGAGATGGGATCTGAACTCTAAATGCAACCCAGTTGTACAATCATGCTTGGCACTGTTGTCTGTCCTTCCAATGAAGGTTTATTCCTGGATCTTGTCCTTGTCTGCTTGTGGATGGCAATATGAAAACACTGTGACAGGGAAACACTGATCTGTATCTAGAGCTCTGCTCCAGGGCCTGTCCACCAGGAAGTTTGAGGAGGCAACCCACCAGAAGATACAAGGCATCCACAGCCTGCCCTGGGAAATTCCAGTTTGGGCTCCAGTTCATCATTTGATCTGACCTCTAGGAAATCTCTTGTACCGTGATGGGCAATACAGCGTCTCGGACTTCCAGTAAACAAGAATATAAATTATTTGGATCCTGTTGTTCTCTGTAAAGGCTTTCCAATTTGTCCTACTTTAGCTATAAGGGGATGATGATTGTGAAACTAATCTTAATGGTGACTTGATTTGCTCTCCAGCTACAAGGTGCTTAGAAGGTGCTATTTTTTTTTTTAATGAAATACCTGGAGCTGAAAGCAATTTTAGTTGCTTTGTAGTCTGTCCTCTGCAGATAAAATGAAAACTTTTTCCTAGTTGTCTTTTCATTGCTTCTTTACCATCTCTGAGGCTTCAGGAAAGTAAGCTTTTTCCTTTCAAGGAATAACTAAGTGGACTAAATGGGCCTTATCAGTCAGTCAGGTCATATCAGTCTGTGTCAACTAGTTGATGTATATCCACTCCCTGTATTACAGCTCTATTCCCTGGAGAGCAGATTGCATCCACTGCCTGCCTTGGGAAATTCCCATACCTGAAATCCAAGGGGAGTTATTATCACCACCCCTGTCCCTTTAGGTGCTGTCTGCCTGCAGGAGCTCCTCCTTTCCATGCTTCCAGTTAGTTACCAAGCCTACAAACCAGTGGTGTGGTTAAAAAGATGCACTGTTCATTGCTCTTTGGGATGTGGGGAGCAAGGGCATCTCTCTGCTTTTTAGTGTCCTGCTTCATGGGCTTTCAAAGCACATGAGTGCAACTGAGCATCATCTGTGTCACTTGTGTGCTGTTACTAGACTACATCAGTGACACCCCCGTGTTATGCAGCCCAGTGGGAAAACTTGCTTTTAAAAAACATTGCCAATGGGCACGTTGACCTTATGTGAACTTGGGATGTGACCTTGCAGTGGCTCCTGTAAGGGAAGGCAGACACAGACCTGGACAGATTTGATTCTACTTGTGTGTTTCTGCATCGTGGCTGGCTCTGGGTCTTCAGGGGCAGCAAACTGTAGGCACAGAGGATTGGGTGAAATCTTAAACTCTAAGCCTGAGCTACCCTATTCTTGTAGCTAATGAACCTTTGATGTCATTTGCATTAAGGCTGCTTACAGGGCAGTGTGCTTCTCTAGTCAGTAAGGACTCTGGGACTCACCTACTCAATCAGGTAATTGGTCTACCCAAACAGTTAACTACCTCTGGTGAAGGGCTGGTATCCAGTGAGTTGGGAAAGTGTAGAGTTATACAAGGTAACCTGTGAACTGAACTTAGTTCATATATGGGAGAAGAAGGAAGTTCCTTCCTGACTTTTTGAGATGATCAGTATATGCCTTGAAGCATGAGAGACAATTGCCCTCATATGAGCTTGCATAACTACAAATGTTATTTGCTAAATAATTACATAGCCTCTTGAAGAGAGAAAAATCAGTTGCAGAATGTGACTCAGTGCCTTTTGTATCAGACTGTTCCAAGAAGTATAATAGCCTCTTAATTGAAGTCTTTATACCTTGATATTAAAATGCATTTCGTTGGCATTGATATCAAAGAAATGTTAATGCTTCTACTTCTAATCTTTCTTGAGACATAGTAAGTACAATTTTAATGAAAATCACTGTGCATGACATTCTTATATCTGTTTCAAAAAGAAAATGAGAAAAAAAGCAATATATTTTAAATGAATCCTCAAACACCATGTAGTCCTTGTGCTTAATACCAAAAACATTTTCTTGTGTTTCTAAGGCTGTTGCTATATTGATGTGTGACATTAATTTTCAATAAAATTTTGCATCTTGGTTTATCTTGCAACTTTTCTTTGGCTAGATGGCTTTCTCTAGGCCTTTTAAACATCTGCTTATGTGATGGAATAGCTTAGTTGAAACTAGTATGGGTACAAAGAAAAATGCTTTTGTTTCCTGTATTTTATTCTCTTGAGCTTGATTGTCTTCAACTTGACTCTTATGAGTATGAATGAGATAAGAATGGAGTCCCTAAGCTATATGTTGAAGTATGCATTTGTTTTCTAAATTGTTTTCTAAAGCTTTGGGTTGGTTTGCTTTTCTTTTTTCTTTTATCCCCAGAGTATTTTGTAGCCTCCTAACTAGCTTTGCTGAGATTACTGTTGGTGGTGGAGAGGGCAGATATAGGGCCACTACTGACCTCAAACAATGCAACCCAATCTCTGTGTGAAATTCTTTGTTGATTTGCTTTGGAATTTCACTGTGTACGTGGTGACCTCCTCACTTGCATATCATGCAGATTTTGCCGTAAGAGACTTTTCAGATGTGTATTAATTTCAGCTGAAGCTCAGTTAAGATGGGTGCCTGAACCTGTAAAGTGGAAATACTCACTGGTCCTAAATCCAGAAGGCTTTTAGGCTAAGGGTGGTGTCAGCCTGACTTGAATTTCATGGCTGGCCTCAACTTCATAATTAGGGAATTGAAACCTCAGATCTGAATCATTCCCTTCACTCTGAAAAGTTGGGTCTGAACTTCATGGCTCAGTTTCACTTCCCCTTGGGAGTTGCTGCCATTGTTAATATTAATTTGTGAAGCTTCTTGTGCTTTCCACTTCCTTGAGTCTATGAAGTTTGCTGGATCTTGTCCTGCATCTTCACTGCCAAAGGACAGTTCACACCCTTCTGTACCTCCTGTAATTGTGTAATTAGGTAACATTTCTTCAGGGCCTTAGATACTCCAGCCTGTTAGCATAGATGTTTTCTCCACCCAACACTCCAAGTCTTGAAAGTACAGAAGCTGGAGACAATGTAATTGTATGGAACTTGACCTTGAGTGCTGAAGGTTTTAATAAATTATCTAGGAATAAGCCTTTTCTCTCCTTATTTGAAGTAATAACTATTCTATTTGCATAGAAGAAAAGCCAGTTCCCAGGAATTGGTGTAACCAGTTATACCCAGATGAACAAGTTTCCCAATGGGAAATAAGATGGGAATGTGCCCTTCCCCATTCACCATGGGGTCACTGTGATATGAGTGCCAGGCTCTGTGGCGAGCTGGGCAACCTCTGCTCTGCAGGAACACCACAGCTTGTGAGGGTGTTTGTGCTCGGGAAGCAGGAACATTTCCCAAGCCTTTGCCCAGTCCTGCAAATGCCCCTGGTGAGAGAGAGAAAAACCTGCTCCCTTGTGGCATGGCAGTGCTCTGCCAGTTCTGCTGTTGGACCAGCTTTAATGATAATTTTCTGCATATCCCACATAAGACCCCACTCCAAATGGGATGCCACAGCCGTAACTCGATCTGGGAACTGGGCTGCTGTTCAGAAGCAGTCTGGTCTTCACAGTCTGGATCACTTACACAGCAGGATTGCAGCTGGGACCCTCAGGGCTGGGCAGTGGGAGCTTGCCAGCAAACCTCTCTGGCCCAGTTCATGAGTATGGTGGATGGAGTTTGGGGCTGGATGGACTTGAGGGAGGGTAATGCTGTTGTTGAGTGGTAGTAGGAACCTGATACTCTTTGTAAGCAGCCTGCAGGGTTTGGATACCAAGTTTTCCTTAACACCAGCAAAAGCTGTTTGTTGGCATCCCAGGCAGCTCTGTCCATCTCAGCAGTGGGCCCTAAGGTGTATGGAATCTGTCTTGAGCAAAGAGCTTCTGGCTGTTAAATATGCACCTGATAACAACCCGACCATATGAATAACTGTGAATTTTGGAGAAACCAAGGTGATAAGTGCCACCTGATCTGAGAATTGCTTCTGCAGTCAGGTGTCAGGGGTAGTTCGAATGGTTTGAGATGGCTTCCTCAGTTCTTTTTCTTATGAAAAAAGTTTTTGAACACAAAGAGAGCTTAACTTAAAAATACACTTTGAATTTTGGTAGCTGGTTGCTGGCTTTGCATATATTCTTTTCAACTGAAGAACTTCCATAGACACTCTACTTTTAGTTCAAACTTTTTATTTAAGTAAAAACTTTACCTATTTGGTATTCACTTTTTTTTTTTTTAAATAAGTGACAAGAATACCTGGGAAACTTCTTGTCCTGTTGACTCGCTCTCCAGTGATCTTTATCTGCGATGATCCCATGGTGTCAGTGATTTCACTGTAGTAGGTCATGTAGCCCCTTGGATGCACATTCTTAACAACCAACGGTTGTGATCCCTGTCCTAACTTCTCCTCGGTTTGCAGGACCTCCATGCAGTCGCAGTCATCCTACGGCTCTAACTCTCCACCACTCAGCAAAATGAACAGCATGAACAAGCTGCCCTCGGTCAGCCAGCTCATCAACCCCCAGCAGCGCAATGCCCTGACCCCAACCACCATCCCCGACAGCATGGGAACCAACAGTAAGAAACACTTATTCTTTCTTCTCCTGTTCCCTGTGCGCTCCCTGCTAGTCTGGGCAAGGAGACTTGGCATCTCCAAGTGGCTAGTGTTAAGCTGGAGAGCCTGGAGTCCTTTGCTGTGAACCTGCAGAGCCAAATAAATATTGCTCACTTATGTGCCATGGGGCAAGGCTTCAGCATCCTGCTCAAAGCCTCACAGGGGTGAACAGAGCTGCTTCTTGCTGCAGTTCTAGCTGGCTGCACTGTCCTCTGGCTTTCAAGATTCGTTTCTTCATCTTTTCCCAGCACAGGAGATGCAAATGTTAGCAAGACTTTTTTCCCTCAGTTCAATTAAGACACTTCTTAATTTCAAAGGAAATATCTGCATCTCACAGCTCTGTTCCTCCTGGCTGCTGAAGAGTGCCCAGCAGGCCTGTAAATCCAGGATGACAGACATGGTTCTGGGGGCTGAGTTTTGTTGGGGTTTTTTTGGTCGTTTTTCATTTATTTATTTATTTATTTCGAAAGCACTGGACTCTTGCCCACACCTGTTGCTGATCCCCTTCGGGTGCTCTTGCTGTCTCTGAAAACAAAGCTGTTTGGCTTCTGTATTGGGTTACTCTGCTGGCTCTGTCCTGCTCCTCTCCCATGGCAGGGCAAGCCAAGACGAGGTTTCTTGCTTAGGTTTCTACCAAGCCTATCTGTGAGGGAAGGTGACACGACAGAGGCACTGCTGACAGTTGCTCCTGTGAGGAGAGGGCTACTGAAGGACTGTCTGTCATCTGGTCCTTGTCCCTGCCTGAAGCTTCTCGTGCAGGGCATTGCAGGGGAATTAAGGCTGCTTGGGCTGTGGGTGCTGTCCTTCTGTGCTGTGCTGGGGGCGAAGCAGGGGTCTGGGGATGCCTGGGTAACAATGTGCTCCTCCTTCTCTCCTCCAGTTCCCATGATGGGCACCCACATGGCCATGACCGGTGACATGAATGGCCTCAGCCCCACGCAGGCGCTGCCTCCTCCCCTCTCCATGCCTTCAACGTCCCACTGCACCCCCCCTCCTCCATACCCCTCAGACTGCAGCATCGTCAGGTGAGCGGGAGCAGGCTGCCCGGGGCATGTTTCCCACCCGCAGTGAGCACAGGCCTTGTCTCAGGAGCCTGAAGGGTCCTGCCAGGTTACTTGTCCCATTCTACTGGAGCACTGGATCCCCCTGGGCCCTTGGCAGTCGTGAGGCTGGCACCCTCTGGGTACCGAGCCTCAAATTCCCACCTCTGAGCAGCTGAGAGAAACAGGGACGTTAGGACTGCAGGAAAGCTGAGGGATGCAGCATCTGTTGGACTGGTGGAGCTTGAGGGTGCCAGGCAGTCTTGCAAACATTTCTTATTTTTCTTTTTTCCCCTTTGGACACTTGACAAGCTATGGCTGGGGTCAGAAGCCCCTCTGTCCTTCATGAGGTCAGAAAAGTTGAAAGATGCTGCCCATAAAGGAGGAATCCCTTACACTTAGAGAGGAATATGCTGATTAGAAGTGCATGGTGTGTCTGAGCCTCAGACCTCATGCCTTTGCTGAAGCCCTCTGTGCATGCAACAGGCTGCCATGGGCTCAGCCACCTTCTGGGTGACAGGACCTGGCAGGAGGGTCTGTGTGAGCCTTCCTGCCCCAAGACCCAGACTGTGCAGCACTAGCTCTTGACTAAGGCAAGGTGCTGCCATGAGGGCTGTCTGGTAGGCTAGCTGAAGGACTCCCTTGTTTGATGTGGCAGTGATGTGGCTTGCTGACCTGGGATGTCTTGGAGGAGGTCAAGCCAAGGGTGAAAGCTTTGTTTCCTATTGCTGCAGATTGGCTGAGTGTTTGGTTTTTCTGTGGTTTGGGCTGTTGCAGCCAGGGTGATCCTATTTTCTCTCTCCTTCCTTCCTTCCTCCTCTGCAGCTTCTTAGCGAGGTTGGGCTGCTCATCCTGTGTGGATTATTTCACGACCCAGGGGCTGACCACCATCTATCAGATTGAGCATTACTCCATGGATGTAAGTAACTCCTCACCATTTCCTTTGTTTGCATTCTTGGCCCCGCTTTAGAAAGAGGTCAGAAATCTAGACTTAGTATACTTTTATTTTTACATGATTAGTTTGATTTAAGGCTGTAGCACACAGAGAAGACATGTTGTGAGGTGAAGAGAGGCTGGACTCAGGACCAGCATTGTAACTGCCTTGCCTGGCACAGAGAAAGTGTGTCTCCCCTTCCCCACCACTCTCTGTTTTAGCCCCCGAAGTGGCCCCAGCCCACACGCCTGTTAATTCTGCAAGGCTTGGTTTCAGTTTACACCTCGCTCGCCTGCAGACAAGTAGGCTGTCCAGAAGTGGTCTGCATTTTTCCCTCCCTGCTTCTGTTTTCTGGCCTTACCTTAATCATCTTCCCTTGCCACTGGCATCTCAGCCCTGTTGTTGTTTTTTTTCTCTTGCATGGCTTTTGCTGCAGGGTTGCTGCTTCCTCTCCTGAGCCATTGCTCTTCTCCGAGCTGGCTGTCCCATTTTTTTTCCCCTGAGACTTCGGAAGGCTGTGGTGCTTTTGCTCCCTAGCATAGGCTGCCTTCCTTCTGTTGCTGCTCTAATTAGAAAAGCTGACCCAAATTAACCAAAATTGATTGCTAATTTTTTCAGAAGCTGATACCATGTATCCCAGAGTTTAGGTAATGCAACCCTCAGGTTTTGCACCAGAAATGATGGGGCCTCAAAGTACAAGTTTTCAAAGATTGTGTCTGTTATTAGGTTTTAGTTATGTTCAAGTAAATAAGACAGTTCCTACAGAGTCAGACCCAGAACTTTGAATACTGGAGCTTAACTTGGATTCTAAAATCCTTTTGCAACCTTTGAAATAAACATGGAAGTTTTCAAAGCCACTGACCTTCAGCAGCCCAGCATACCCCACCACTGACAACCAACAGATCTCTGAGGTTGCCTTGGAGGCCTTGCAGTCCAGTTAAGCATCTAGCTTTAGATCATCATGTCTTATGCATGAACATGTGTTTTGTGTAACTTAAAAATAGTCCTCATGCCTTAAAACCAGATCATTACTGTCTCATGGCCCCACAAGCCTGTTCAGAAGTGATCAGTTCAGAACCACTTTCATGATCAGTGGTTTGTCTTCTGCAGTGTATTGTGGCCACCTGGATTTTAGCAGCTTTGGTGCTTCATAGGCATTTGCAGGGTGGCCCAGTGGCTTCTTTTACTCCTGGAGCCCATCTTGCCCAGGGATTAATTGCCCTGCTAAGCCCTGCGCCTTGCCTTGCAGGATCTGGTGAGCCTCAAGATCCCGGAGCAGTTCCGCCATGCCATCTGGAAGGGCATCCTGGACCACCGGCAGCTCCATGACTTCTCCTCCCCTCCCCACCTCCTGCGCACCCCCAGCGGCGCCTCCACCGTCAGCGTGGGCTCCAGTGAGACGCGGGGGGAGCGCGTCATCGACGCCGTGCGCTTCACGCTCCGGCAGACCATCTCCTTCCCGCCCCGCGACGAGTGGAACGACTTCAACTTCGACATGGATGCCCGGCGCAACAAACAGCAACGCATCAAGGAGGAAGGGGAGTGAGACCCCCGGACTCCCCCCACCCCGCCTCGACCACAAACTGCTCAGCCCTTCATTTGTCTTCCTTCTGCTTGGTACTGCACCCCTGGACGAAGGGCAGAGGGAACCTTCTTGCTCACTCGTGCCTGGTTATGCCCTTGATGCTGTCTAGGTCATACTCCTGGACTGCGACCTCCACCCCGGCTCTTGCAAGGGGAAGAGCTGAGCGAAGGGGGAAGGCGGGTGGTGTTTCCTTGAAAACCGTTGACCTTCTTGAGAAGGTGTTGTTCTTGTTTCATGTTTTCCTTTGGGGATAGGGCTTCTTTTCTTGACTTTTGAATCCTCGCACACATTGTGGGCGTCCTGACATGCAAACTTGTTTCTGTCATCCAGTGATCCCACTTTGAAAAGCAGAAAGGTTAAAATAAAATTTTTTAAAGGCAAAAAAAAAAAACCCACAAAACAAAAAACCAAAACCAAACAACCAAACTCATGCTAACAGCAAATGCAAAAAACCTAAAGCAACCCAACCCTGAACTGACCATCTTGCTCTTAAACGTTACTCTTAAACAGCCTCTTCCCATGGAGCTGAGTGCTCTGTTCATGTATGATATTCTCCAGCGGAGACAGCACATGCACTTTGCTGGGCAGGCCAGCACTTACGGCACCTCCATCCTACTTCTCCCTTTTCCCTCTTCCCTCACCTTCTCTGGGAAAAACCAAACCTGCTGTCTCTTCTTGTTTTGGATTGACATTCTTATGTATGTCCTGGTTTGCTTCTTTCAGGCTATGAGTGTAAATAAAGCTATCATCACTTGAATTCTGCCCCTAACCAGCCTTTAACCATGATGTACCACTACTGACATTTAAGTTAGAGAATTAGGCTTTGCCAAATATGCAGCCTGGCTAGTTTAGCATAGGGATTTGCCCACCTAACCTCCAGTTGAATGGAGAACCAAGAGCTGCACACTGATCTGTAGGGCTTCAGCTATCCTAAACTCAGACAATCTTTTATTTAGACCAGGCTAGATTGGTTTCCTCCCATGTAAAGTAGAACTGTCTTTAGATATATCTGTGATAGGCTGAAACCTGTTGTGTTTTGTTGCTATTAACTATAGGCTGAGTGACAAAAAGCTAGAAGTGGATAATAAAAAAAGAAATAATTGCTAACTGCCTTAAATCGAGGACCTGGTAATATGGGTGTTGTTACTACAATAAGTAATGTTTACATGAGAACTTGATTTATCTCTGTTTTTTTCTTTATGTGCTCTACCACAGATGTGCTCTGAGGCATTTCCTCTGACTGCCAGTGGTCCTGTGGACAAGTAACTGAGCAGTGTGTTTTCACATTTTTATAGGCCAAGGTCGTGGAACTGTCATGAATGCAAAATATACCTAAGCTGAGGAGCAAGGCTCAGCACAGCTGCTTTGAAGTTGGCTTACTCTTTTTAACAGTAAGTCTGACCTTTTTTGGCTGGGAAAAGATGAAAAAAGCAGCTTAAATGACTTGTCATCCTACCTTGCTACAGCCGAACAATCTCGTTTCAATGCAGTGGCTGTTTCCTGGGCCCTGCTGTGTGCCATGTATTTCATTTAAGTCCAGTATGGTTAGCACCCTCCATCTGTCTGCTGTGCCGGGTCTGCGTTGTGTTCAAAAACTGCCTTTTGGTAACTGTGCAAGCTGGGTTAGCTATAAATGGTAATGCCAGATGGTTACTGTAAAATGTGTATATAAATGTTTTTTGTATGTGTAATTTTTGTTTTCCTACAGCAGAAGACGGGAATTTTTATTTCTTCTTGGGCTACTGGGTCACACAGAACCACAATAAAATGTTGTTTGTTTTTCTGTTTTTTTTTTTAATTATTATTTTTATGCAGAACGCTTACACTATACCTTGTGACAAATAACTAGTGACTGGAAGAATATATTTGTATTTTTCATACTGAGATTCCTGTTACTTTGCAGTTGAGGAGGGAGGGGGCAGGTACTGAAAGTCTGTTTTATCATTTTATTTTGTAACACTTCAAAGAGCAGTGTCCTAGATTTCAAAGTATTTAACATGCTCAGTGTGAGAACTTACTGTGTCTATTAATTTTTTTTTCTATATGGTACAAAGGGAGAAAGTCATTCTGCTCTTGATACAATAATTAATTCAGTGGGGCAGTGCAGGGAAAGTGTTGGTGTGAATACTTCACAAATTCTTGGAGGTGAATTAGGCTGTGCCCTTCTCACATCCAGGGTTTTGCATCTTTCTAAGCTGTTACAGTATTGTACTAATATTGACGCTAAAGACCCAAATCATTTTTAGGAACTAGGAAGCTTCTGACTATAAAGGTTAATGCAGTTAGTGCTGTGCCCAGAGTCTGGGTACAAGAACTTCAATGTCTGCTTTTCAACTCAGCAGTGAGATGGAGCTTTTCTGATGCATCATGAACAATAAAAATATATGCTGTGAAAACCTTATTTCCACGGGATAGTACTATGCAGCCCACTTGGGTATATCTGGAACATACAAGTGAGTTTGAACTACTGTAGCTTTTACCCTCCCCTGTAGAGCTGTGATTTTGTTGTTGTTGTTGTTTTGATGCCTCGAAGCATTATGAGCTGAGAATCTGCCAATGCTTGTAGCAATGACAGTCCTGTCTGCACCAAGATCAGTATGTGTTTTGGAAAGCCTTGTTGTTGAAGTAACTGAAAATAAAAGCCAAACTGAAAATGACGTTGAATTGCCAAACGACTTCTTTTTTTGCCTGTGCGCCTTTTTGGAAATGAGCAGGAACGTTTGCTGCTGTGTCCTCCTCTGAGCAGCTGAGGTTTAGTGTCACATTTGCCCATGGGTGCAGTTTTCTCATCCCCACAGCATCCATGTCACGAGGGTGTGTTATAGGGTGCCATCACACACAGATGGAATGGGTCAGCCCCGTAAGCCTCTTGCTGAACTGTGTTCTGCCTTTTGCATGGCTCTTTTTTACCCTTTCATTGGGTTTCTTTATTCTGTTTCTGAGCAATGCACCAGGTAGTGCCCTGTGTTCCACATCCTGCTCAAAGTCAGTGGAGCTGTGACTGCTGTGTGCCCTGTCTGGGGGCAGAGAGCACGTGCTTTAAGCAAGTAGGGTCAGTGCTGCCCTGTTCTTCCTCTGTGCTTGGGAAATAGCCTTCCACGGCCATCTCCATCATCTCCCTTGGAGCTTGGGTGGGGGGTTAACATCTTTATTTAACTACACCAAAGGCTTTGTGCATCACTCTATGCATCCTCTCCCCTAACAAAGCCATTTCCCTCTCCATCTCAATTCTTCTTCCAAGGATTTGAAATAAGAATAGCTCAGAGCCAGTGGAGCAGCTGTCCTCAAAGTGATGGAGTGGCCTCCATCAGCCAGGGGCATCATCCTGTCCATAGACCACCACATTAACAGCCTAGCTTCATCAGTGTTTTCTGTTTGGGACCCCATGTCTGTCTCTTGCAGTTTCCTGGGTTATAGGTGGGGGAGGATGTTCAGGAATGGGGAGAGTCAAAAAACCCCACAAAGATCCTAGAAGAAGAGGTGTCCGTAGCTTCCCTTGGGGGATAGTTTTGTTTGGGTAGGGAATGCCTGCCTGATTTCTTTGGTTCTGATCACTGTTTCTTTTCCCTTCTGCCAAATGTTTAGAGAAGTAGTTGTCTCCAGATGCCAGTATCCAGAGGCATCAGTACCCTGTTTGCACTGGCAGGTAGAAATTGCCCAAATGTGGTGTTAAAAAGTATGTGGTGTTAACTAGTATGTTGCTCTCAAAGAACTGCTACAAGAACTAGCTGTGAGAACTTGTTGTTTCAGCTAATTGACTCTTTGCCTCTAGATGAGCAAATTGGACCAGATAAAGTAAGATTTCCGTTTCCATTAAGCAGGCAGGCTTGAAATATGGTTGCAGTTTCTGTCTGCTGTGATCCACTGCTGAAGCAGGGAACCTCTACTTTGCTGAGGTTACGGCAAAGGTTTCAGTGCTGAGGAATCCCAAGCTGGTGCTCTCCCTTTTGCCCTCCACCCATACTCATTGGAATTTTGTCTTTGGATATTGGGATGCTTCATATGCAGGCATGAAGTTGTTAGAGCAGGGATCCATTACAAGCTTCCAGCTGTGTTTTGCAAGCCTGGGTGGACCTCTGAAGACGTGCATGCCCTTCTATGCTGTTAGTTCTAAGTGTGCTGAAGCTAGCAGTCCTCTGGAATGAAACTTACCCGGACACAACAAAACCTGGCAAATATCCAGGTGGAGCCTGTGAAGAGTGTCTTGCTCATCATGTTCTTCCTGTCCTGTATGCCTTAGCAGAAACCCCTTCCTTTCTGATGGCGAAGTGGCTGCCTGTGCTGTGGGGGAGGATTGTGGGACCCGGCCTCCTGCTCTGCCTCTTTGCAAGTTGTTTCTCTGTGGGAAAACCATGTGGGTAGCCCAGCCCTAGCACCAAGTCAGAGCTCGGGCTATTTGGCCTTCTGATTTATTGAGTTATAAAGTGCATAACTAACATCATTTGCTGTGTGGAGGTTAGTGAAGAGCTGTGGCAGGCCCTGCAGAGCTCCCCCATGGGCTGTGCCAGTGCTGAGCCTTTGCCAGGAAGGTTTGGCAAACAGCCTCGTCTGGCTGCCAGGCTCGAGCTGGTGGTTTCTGGGTCCCGAGTTGTTTTGCCTCTCTGCGACCCATGGCAGCAGGGATTTGTTCTCTTGAGTAGGTAGCAAAGGGTGGAGGCTGGAGTTTTGGAGCCTTATTGGTATTGGGGTATGCTGGCCATGAAGGTCAAACAAACTGGAAGGAAGCTAATCTTTATGCTCTGTTGGCAAGGACTGGCTGTGGCTTTCTCCCAGCTTGCTTCCCTAAGATTAAGGAGCCAAAATTTTACTCAGAGGTATATGGCAGTTGCCAATTACTACAGCTTTGCTCTCCTCATCTGGGCCCCATGGACTGATCTTTTCCTTGTATGCCCGGCCTCACCAATTGTATATGCCATTCCTTCCCACAAGGTCTTAATATCAGCGCTGTGGAACCATGTAGTTTTAGTTGTTTATGTGTGTGCATTTTTATTAGTAGGTGCCTTTCATTCAGTGAGGAGTTGGAGCCCCTCTGTACCCCGTCTATCTGCCTGTGCTTGTTGCAGGGCTGCCCATTGCAGCCATGCCCTGCTGCTGGGTGAGCATGGCTATGGGCTTCCATGGCTCAAACTGGTCAAAGTCCTTTTTAGGGTGGTGGAGGGATCTATCAGCTTTGTTAAAATGCTTTGACTTCCTTGCAAACACTCCTAGTGTCATATGTTTTTTTTCTTAGGAAACATTAGCTCTGCCTTCCTGAAATGAGCGAGGTGCCCGGGGCCACAGGTGAGTGAAGGAAAGGCTTTGTGGGATTAGAGGCAGGAGATGCAAGATTTGGGGCAGGATGAGGGGGCTGCAGGTACAGCCCCAGGACATGGGCATCCCTGGGGGTGGTATACAGTGACTGCAGCATTGAAGCCAAGGGCTGAAGAGTCTCAGCTACACCTGAAGACATTGACTGTACCCAGTGTGTTTCTGTCTTGGTGACTGCAGTCACTGCAGTACCATGGCTCACCCTGCTCCACAGCAATATCCAACACAGGCCCATGGACAACTGGATCTCAGTTTGAGAGCTCTAAGATTGTTTGGTGAGGGTTTCCATGCACCATTCAGCTGATTTCCTCACTGCCATTGCAGTGCACTGCCCTTTGCCTTTGTGGTAATGTAAGATCAGCAGCCAGTGGCTTCTTGGCTGTGCCACTTCCCTGGACGATGGGGATACATGTTCCAACAGGAGGTGGGTGCCTTCTGGCATGCTCAGCAATTACTCACAGGCAGCTGGGCTGATACCAACCATTACAGCATGCAAGGGAGATGCTTATATTGTCTCTCCCAACAGCCTAGGGTAGGAGATTAGGCTCCCTGCATCATCAGTGGCAAGGAAGTCCCTGGGGAACCATTCAGAGCATATTAGATTCCCACTCTGAATCATGCCCTGGAAGATGTGGTCTCATTATTGCCTGCATCAAGGCCAAGGGAAGACTAAGCTCATTTGTAAACATTAAGCAGGATGGCTCTGTCCATGCAATCAACTTTACTGAAATCCTAAGGCTTGTGGCTGCACTGTGAGAGAGACACTGCCCTGGCACAGCCATTTGTAGCAAAGAAACTTGTGCAGAGTCTGAGGTGAAAAAGGGAAAAAATGAAACAAAATAAATCAGCACAACTGGGGAAGAGATCGTAGTTTTCCTCTTCTGTTTAACTGCCACCACTCTCAAAATGAGTGTCTACAAACAATCTTAAAAAAAAAAAAAAAGAGAGAGAGAGGAAGAGAAGAGTACAAATCCAAGCTTGCATTAAAAAAAAGAATAGCAATTGAGGCAACGGGAGATCTGGCTGCACAGAAACCAGGACTCTCCCAAGTACATCATCTCCCACCCACATTGGTTCCTCGTCGAGGGGGATTTGCAAACCCTGGTTCCCAAAAAAGAGCCAAGTGCCCAAGCCGCGCTCCGGGCCGGGCGGTGCCGGGCACCCACCGCCCCCTCGCGGCTCCGCCCGGGATCGCGGCACCGGCGCCGGGAGATCGGCGGTGCGGCTCTGCAGCAGCCCCGGGGAGCCCGCGCGTCCCCCCGCGGCCCCTCAGCCGCCTCCTGAGAGTGGGCACGAGTTTTATAAAACGCCTTTTTTCTCACCCCTCGCATCCCACGTGCAAGAGCAGCAGCGGCAACTCTTGTTTGTTTATTTTGCATGGGTGGAATAACCAAGTGACCTGTTGGTGTTACAGAACAACTCTTACTGCAGCTGCCTCTTAGGAAAGCTGCTGGTGTCCTGCCCTTCGCTGTGCACCCAGGGGATCTCCAGTGTTGTGCCCATGCCAACCCACACCAGAGCAAATGAGAAATTCAAACACCATCACCTGCCAAACCAGGAGAAATGACTGCTCTCAACTCAGGCAGCTCTTGGGTGCAAAAAGCCTGAACCTGGGCCTTCCACTGGTGAACCTCTACCCAGAGATGCCTTCAGAGCCAGAGCCTACCACTCCAGGAGGTTGGTTGGAGGCACACTGAAGGCAGCAGCCCTGAATGGGTACTCCATACTGCAACACCCCACAGCCCAAAGCAGCGTGCACCAGCACCCCAGGCTCCCGGCACCACGCGTGTCCTGCCCAAGGGCATGAGAGGTGCTCCACCTTCCCTTCATGCACACACACACAGAGCCTTGGCTGCAGAACTCTTCCCTGCCAAAGCGATACGCATCACTTTTTCCAGCTGAGAAAATACCACCGGGTATTTTGCAGAGAGCACACGCCACAGCCAGGAACTCCCACGGCAGCACCTGGCTGGAGCACCGGCGGGCCGGCACAGGGCTCCCACGCCACCACGGCAGCCAGCTCAGCCAGTCTGGGTGGGGAGCCCGGCACCCCGCCAGGGCCGACCCGCCCGCGGCTCCCGGCACCCCGTGTGCACCTGTGCAGCTCCACAGGGTGCTGTGTGCGGAGGGGGCTCCCCCTGGGGCTCCCCGGGGGCTGCTGGCTCACAGGCTGTGTGCTGGCTCTGGCTCAGTTTGCTGGTGCTTGCTTTAAAAGCTCACCCTGGCACACATGGGTCCTGCCCTGGGGAGGCCAAATGTGAGAACAGCCCCCAGCACTGGGCAGGCGCCCGCTGCAGTTCTGGGCTGTGCTGTGCAAACAGTCTGCAGCTCCCAAGGAGAAGC